ATAAGTGAGTAACTTGTAGGTTAGTGAAAGCCGTTGTTTTCAATTTAAGAAATGTAATGAATATAATTTTCTGAGTGTTTTTCTCTATAGCTTGTTTGTAAAAAGTGTTTTCAGATGGATTTTGAATGGGAATTGAGTTGGGAATTAAGGCAACGGTGTATAAAATAACAGTTAAATCTATGAAACGTGTTTGCTATTTATTAAAAGTTTATATTAACTTAACAGGACAGTTACAATTATTACAAATTTTCAATTACATTTAATTAAAATAACAAATGACGAACTAAAATAATAATGATGTTAAAATTCTACGAAAAACCGGTAAATTGTTTTAATGTAGTTATCGGTTTTTTATGTTTTGAGCCAAAAATCGGTATACATTATGAAATTAAAGTGTTAAAAAGTTTTGAATTTTATATTCGCGCCACTTCGACCTGAAATGTAAACTGTAATATGAATGAAAATCAACTGAATCTACTTGATACGAGAAATATTTTACATCTCTATGGTTTCCTGTAGATTAAAAATAATGAAGCTGAAATTAAAGTAATAATGTTAGTACATCGTTAAGGCGGTGCCATTGTTCTTAACCATAAAGAGGGTGAGAGATGCGGACGATTTTATTCATATTATCCACCCCTATAAGAAAATGGCCACCGCTGGATGCAGTGAAAGATGGCGGGCGCATGCGCCGAGCCTCGCTCGATACGTGCACCCTCCGGCGGTTAAACATTAATCCCACGTCAAACTACAACATACAAAATACAACTTCAATACTACTATCACTACCACATCTGTCACTTGCACACACTATACACTGCGACTTCTGCTGCAGCCTCTCTCAGATACAAAGTTCAACAACCGGCAGCTCGCTGGATCTGAGAACAGAACACACAAGACAAACATAACAACACGACAAAATTGGACATGACAATACAGGTGGAGTGCTCTTGGTGATCAGGATCGTAGCTAAGGCTACATCCCCGCCGGTTTGTCCCGGCGCAGCAGTAGCCTGGACGTACTGCTGTGACAGGACAATATGGCGGGGACGAGCGGCGCAGCGGCGGCGGCGGGCGTCGGGCAGCGTGTGAGGAGCGCGCGTGGCAGCGTGCCCGCCTGCCGCCGCCCGCACCCCGCCGCGCCCCGCGCACGCGCCCTCAGCCCTACTCCCCCGCACACCCCAAGCCACTCCCTCCACACCCCTCAATGAACGCCACCCTCAATCAACTATCGATTTTCTTACACAAAAAAATAACACATTTAATTCATTATCTTTATGCATTTAAAACTGGCCTAATATATCAGTTACCTTTGCTGAAATCCAAAAAATTAAAACATAAAATTGGGCGGGATTGTCTATGTCGAAATTAGGTTAGAGGTCATCGACCCGGGAGGCTGCTTCCCTCCGCGTGCGGCGCTGCGCGGGCTGTGGGCTGTGGGCAGGGCTTTCATGATTATAAAATCTTTTGCTTAAATTATTGCTCCATTTTGCTAGAACAATAACACGAAAAGTTTTGTTTGTCTTTTTACCTCTAATTAACAAGTTTTTTCTAACGGCTGGAGTAATACAAATTTTAATAAAAAAAAATACAGACACGTAAAAAATAACTTGCACATTTTTTCACAAATTACAACTATTTAACCCAGTAAAATAAAAATGTGCCCAACTAGTGCAATAGAAAATAACAGAATTAGAGTAACATTAGCATATCAAATATTGCAATGTACTGCTTAAATATTGATCTTGCGAAAAGGTACCAAAACTGTAGGCATTTTGTAATGGCAACCCTGCTGTCTTTGAGCACTCGGCTTCACGCGGAAAGGGTAGAGCCCGAGTGGCCTGCAAAATGCCCGATCCGTTCGCCCACTCAACAGAATGTGTTAATTGGAAGATTTTACCACGTATTTTGTCAACTTCTCTTTATATGTCAATTTTTTTCGTATTTCATATAATGCATATTTTATTATAAATACACAGAAACAATTACAAGCTATAATTTACTAACGATTTGCTATTTTGCTTTAAATGCCATGAAAATGGAATTTCGTTTACTTATTCTAGAAATTCAACTCGATGAATATTTGTATCGAAAATTCGAATTATTACAGACATCGGATGATGGAATTACGATACCAATTCCATCAGTTGTAACTTTCGTATTCAATCTATACTATTATAATAAAGCGTAAACACACATTTCTTTGTTGCCTAAGATGTCAGCAATTACAACATATTTTTGAATAATTCTTTTTTTAATAAAAAGCCCTACACTTACGTCAAGCTTTAGGCTATTTATTTGCACGCCATTAAACTTAGTAGAAAAATATTTTGGATAAAAACCCTAATGTGGGGAAGAGACCATAAGTTGCTGCCAACATCAAGAAAGCAATGTCAAGTCATTTTGACATTTGTAATTTGACAAATGTAAACAAGAAAATACCAGGGAATAGCTAGTACATTTATAAAGTAATGCCCAATTTACATTATTCCAGACCAGGGGTAAATTTAATGCAAGATTACAACTGGAAAAAAGTAATCACACATACTGGAATACTGGACATCTGAGCATTAGAACAATCTATGGTCTATGTATATCGTAAAAGATTTAAAAAATAAAATTATTTTTAATAGAGACATGAGATTGGTAAAATATGTACAGATAAAGACATAGAAAATACGATGATATTGACAATGTGTTCTAATTTCAAATATTTTAAATTCTTCCTTGTTTCTAATGGCTTGAGACCTAAAAACATGTAAAAACTCCTTGAACAGTCTATTTTTATTCAAAGTGACTAATGCTTTTTCAATACCATTTTTCGGGAGATTATACAAAAACTGCACATATTTTAAAGATAAAAGTTACGATTTAATAAACCGGTATTCGTAAAACACTACACCAAAATGCTGACATTATTTAACATTTACATGTGTCAATTTTTTACTTCTTTTTATTCCAAGATTTGAATACGAAAACGGAATTTGCCGTAGAATGGTTATTGTAGAACTTGTAGTAGAAATGTAATTTTAATACTTACAATGATTTCAAAAGACCTGAGATATTTGAATGGTATTATTCAGTTTAATATGAAACGAAAACCACTATGAAAAGAATAGTGATAAAGGAACGGACCCGGTCTCTAAGCTCTCAGACATTATGTTCCGCGAAAAGATAAATTGCCCACCACACTGATTTATTGCTGAAAAGAAAATTTGTGTGGAAAAAATATATTACGTCTGTAACGTAAGTTTGTGAAAGGAGATTAGTACAAATACTGATTCTTTGCAAACATTTGGTATGCAAATCCTTTTCGCAAAGTTTAAGACGCAGGTGTTGCTACTTAAAAATTATAAATAAAACCGTAATTACTTTTCGAAAAAAAAAAGATTAGGTTTTTAAAACAATTTAAAACTTACTAAATATTTTAGGTATTGGTCTTTTCGTTTCATACAATATTTATAATGAAATATTAGAGATCGACGTAAACATTACACAATCTAATTTGAAAATTGCAATGCAGCAACTTTGACGCCGTTCAACCATAACGGCATTATCTCTAAAATTGCATAATGTTAGTTTGTTTTATTCATTCAGTTTTTAAATATAAAAATCAGAGAAAAATGCAATATATTGAAAAGACGGCTTATAAAATAAAATTCTTCGACCGGTGTGAAGTTAGGCACTCTCGTCTGTCAATTGGAATTGGGAATAATTTTTATTTTATCATTGAAATTAAATATGTAAGCAATGTAGACCAAAATCATCGTAAAATAGGCACATGACAGTTTATTTTTTGTTAAAGTTTTTGTAAACTACAAGTTTTGAACGTATAGTTTGTCTAAATAAGATAGATTAGTTTGATAAATGACGTATATGAAGTATCGAATTCAATTTCTATGAAGGCAAATGCTATGCTTAATAGACAGGAACCGTAGTGACGAACAAACACGCAGCGAACAATTATGAACTATCGATATTTGGTTTAAATAATTATCGAACTCAACTAAAATTATTATTTTCTTATTCATTTATTTAGAGGACAATTCTAGAGTATTAATTAAAGTGTAGAGAATTTAGCGATGAGCGATGACAGAAATAATAGCGAAATCCAATTCGATTACGTACGACTGTAGTAGTAACAAACATTTATTTACTCTCATTATTTGTTATGGTTCTTCATATCTTTATTCTCTTATTTTTATATATAATACATTTCACATGATTTTCTTAAAAAAATTTGTTAAAAAAATTGTTATGGTCATTATTAATTTAAGAAAACAGTGTTTTTCTTTTATTTCATAAGTTATAACTATAAATCTATCGATTCCAACTTCTATGAGAATTAAAATCGAAAATCGATAAGATTCATGGCTGATTACACAACCCATCCCTACTAAATTTGAAGTGAATTGTCAAACTAATCTAAATTATTTAGCCACAATCTAAACTATAACTATAGAGTTATAGTTTTTATTTATTTACTTTAAAATAAAGAAGCAAACTTCACTACGGTCAAGACTAGATCGCAAACACAGATAAACTATGGCGTACGTGTTGATGTTATTGTTTGACAGTATTGTTAATTGGAAAAATAATGATGACTACAAAAAATATTTCAATTTATAATAGCAGGTCGTATTACAATGGAGAAATGGGATACTGTGAAGTTTATTCCGTGCAAATGAATACGCATGTGACTACGTAATTAAGGAGTTTATCATGTTTATTCTTTTCTTTGATAATTAAAAAAAAAATCAACAATATTTGTGCAACAAAATGTTACTGGCCGAAGTGCGATCGTCACTTGTTTTTCCTTCGTTGTTTTTTCCCTCTCAATCACAATCAAAGCGTCACTTCGTGAAAGTGTATCTAATTTACGATTCTCTAGCCGAAATTGTAGATCGATTTCGGTTACGGTCGCTAGCGATAGTCGCGCGGTTGTTGATTTAGGCGCGTAGTTATTTGTGACCGGTGTAAGATGATGGGCCTGTATTCCAGCGGCGCGCTGGGCGGCGTGGAGGTGCTGGAAGGCGGGCTGGTGGGAGGCGAGCTAACTGCGCATGTGCTGAGCGCGCAGGCCGCCGCACACGCCGCGGCGACTGCGGCCGCGGCCGCACATCAACAACAACAAATTGCTGTACAACAAATCAGTAAGTAAACAACAAAATACATAAGCATTCTCTTATCTTGTATTATATACTACTAGCCTCCTTGATTGTCCTCCTAGACCATCGCCTGATGACGCCCACAATTTGAATGATTACCATATAAAAGTTCCTATTTGCCAAATACAAATCAACACCCAATTGTTGCCTTTGTTTTCTGAACCTGACCTTTGTATTATGAAAGGCTTTTCTGGATCTAGAAACTTGTTTCATTATTTTCTTTACAAAATATCTGTGTTGTTTGGTACTCTGGTGTGTTGCTATCAATTACTTACAAAAAACAAATATTTAAAAAATTTTAATTGTGACAACACAAGCATTTAGAATACCATTGATATTAATATAAAAGATAAAAATTAGCCTGTTTGAACAGTTTTGTCTGCATTTTAATTATTTATCTATGAATCATATAATAATTTGTGAATAAATTGTTGTAAAACAGCTATTGGTCTTCCTTGAAATTAATTAAATAAATAAATTGTTATACATAGAATATCACTTCACAATTTAACTTATACAATTACAAGAAAAAAGAAAACTTTTTCATTCATAGACATAACCACCCGATAGTCCACCAGAGCTTTAATTAATATGCATAGTTGTATTTAAAGTACATTAGAACCTCAATAAGTTAAAGTGCAAGGAAAACACAAAGTATTTTAAGTTATAGAGGTTTTGAGTTATCAAGGGTCTATGTTTTAGAGGTTTTGGCCTCTGATGGGAAGGAGACATATTATTTTTTGAAGTTATAGAGGTTTTAATTATTGAGGTTCTACTGTACTTTTATGTCTTCTAATGCAAGGCTATTTACCCCCTCCTGGCAACTCCCATTCATCATTAACTAGCTGTTGCTCCCGACTTCTGTGTAAAATTAAAAAATATAGCATATGTTACTCACAGATAAATTACATTTCAAATGATGAAAGAATTTTACAATCTGCCTATAGTTCTTGAGTTATTTATACATACAAAAATACAAAATTTTCCTCTTTATAATAGTAGTATAGAATAATACAGTCCTCAATATATCTATCAGTTTGTATCTGGTCTGTTCACAACAAAGTTGACTATTGTTCAAATAAACCCAAAAGAAATTGACCAGCAGTATTCCATACTTCCCTCTCAACAGAACTCCAGCATACTTCCCTCTCAACAGAAACATCACCATCCTCTGGTCGGTCGACTCCAGTGAACACGGCAGGCAACAGCGGGGCTGCTTCAACAGGCACCACCTCACCCTCTCCCAGCAAGCTGTTTGTAGGTGGTCTCAGCTGGCAGACCAGCTCGGAGAAGCTGCGGGAGTACTTTGCTATGTTTGGACCTGTGTCCGATGTGCTCATCATGAAGGACCCTGTTACACAGGTAAGGAGTTCTATGTGCACAAGTGTAGAGTGACGAGACAGTCAGGAAAAGTACAGTCGCGTTAATTTGCGGTGATACATTTAAAAAAAAATGATTTATACCTCTTAATAGACAAGGTCAAGGTCCTGCCACTGTCTTGTTAAAGATAATAATAATAATGTAATTTATTTAACAATAAACTGGTGACAGAAAATTGACCCTAGATATAGTAGTTTAAAATATTTTGATCTATGGTTTTATGATAGTAACAATCAATTTGATTAATTGTAAAATCTAGAATTTGATAGTGGCATTAATTTCAGATATATCACATGCTTCTTTATTCGTCAAATAATTTTTGTAAGGCAATCCATTATTTCAAATAAAATTGGGCGTAAATGTAACTAAGTTGCGACTTTATTTTTAAACTAGCTATTCCCGTGCGACATTTGTTATATACAAAATAATTACCCTCTAAGTTTAATGACGTGAAAATATATAGCCTAAAGCGTGACGTAATTGTAGGGCTTTTTATTAAAAAAGGATTATTCAATAATATGCTGTAACTTCTGACATCTTGCAACACAGTAGTGTGTTACGCTTTATTATATTAGTATAGATATACGATGAAATGAATTGAATATGATTAAATGACGTCGCTTTGAATCCTTACAAACTTGCGCAAATGTGTTGTTAAGTACGAATAAGTGATAACTTATTCCTGATTGTCTCGTCAATGTTGCTTATATTGTATAGAAAATTCGTTCGGATTTATTTGACCATTTTTATTTTCAAATTTAAGTAACTAGGTATCTACTATTATCCCTGTTTAAAAAATGGGATTCTTTACAAGTTTTTATATCGGCGTATATTAATATTTAAAACAACAAATTCCAGTTAGGTGTTCTATTTGTAGTTGTGAAGATTGCAGTGTATGAGAAATGTTTTGTTCGTCCAAAGAAGGCGGAGTAGGGGGGGTAGTTGAAGATATGCCGCCGTGCGCTGAAAGCGGTCAGTGTGAGCTTGTGCCTTGCGGCAATAGGTTGTCTGGAATAGGTAGTGCGTAGGGTAATGTAATCTATGTCATTATTGGGGAGATTTTTGTGTCATAAACTGGAAAGTATAGATTTTTTTTAGACTCACTCCCTTTACTCGTGCTTTAGAAATTTGAAATATTTTTCTAACATGTTTATTTTTTACTAGCTGTTCCTCGCGACTCGCCCGCGTGTATTTAAAAAATAATAAAAAAAATTGGTACCAGTAGTTTTTCAGTTATTTCAATACAAAAAAATACAAATCTTTCCTCTTTATAATGTTAGTATAGATGTAGTCTGGAATTAAAAATTGCCGTATTGTTTGGCTCTCACAACTTGTACTCAATTTATTTGGCCACCAATCTTGTTCTCATTTCAACAGTTTTTTCTAGTTTATCGTATCTGTAGGAGTTTTTGGTTTTGTACGTACTACAATTTTACACAGTGAATGCTATTTACTAGATAACGGCTACACCCTACTGAATGTGAGTTTAGTTCTTAAATTTATAGAAATCAAAAACTTCAAAATGATCGATGTTCATGTGATTTTAAAAGCAATTGAGTAATGGAAGTGAGTTTTTTTACTGGCAATTATTTTGTCAGGTAAATGTTTGTGACACAAAGTGTACATTTGGGCTATGGTTGATACTATGTATATAGGAACACTAACAAATCATTTACCTAGATCAGACTGGCATGCTAGACACACTAACAAAAGTCTATCTGCGTAGGCACTTATGCTCTCCATAGTTCTACTAACAGTAACTCAGGTAGTTTTAGCTCTGATGTTGCCATTAATGGTCCAAGATTTTGGTAATTTTTAGTAACTTTTATAAATGTAAGTCAAAAACAAATCCTGCAAAAATTATCTTAATTTTTTACGATCACACCGGTAGAATTGTATTTTATTACAATTGAAAATTATTTAATAACAGTATACCCGATTTGGTAGCGATTTCTATCTCAATTCGTAGTGTTTTCACCGATTTATTGCTATCATAGAATTGTTTTATTTTTATAAGTACTGCCTTTCTAATGCTATCCATCAAATAGTTAAAATTCAATTCAAATAAAGTATTTTGAAATATTTACAAATTCAGTTGGTACATATATATTATGTTGATTTATTTACTTCATATGACATGGCAACACACAAGTGTGTCAGTGTTACTCGAGTATTGTAATTACGATTCCGTACGAATATTGAAGGTTTGATTAGGAGATTTTGCGATAATCATCAATTATAATACACTAGTTGCTGTATTTGTCGTTAGAGTGGTGAGCACGCGGTACACCACACAACTATTAGCTGAGTGCCCTCTTGCCTGATACAACTTCTGTAAACCTTAGCTCTAGTTACGACCCGATGTCTTAGTTTGTGTAAATAGAGCTCTCTCTCGTTCACTTAACCTGTCGTTTGATTGTATACGAGTGGCATTTAGAGCCCGTAGCGAGGAGCGCGCTGGAGTAGCGTAGTAACGCCGGCCGCGCGCAGCGCTCGCGCGGCTTCGGCTTCATTACGTTCCAGGAGGCGGCCTCCGTGGACAAGGTGCTGGCCGTGCCCGTGCACACGCTGGACGGCAAGCGCATCGACCCCAAGCACGCCACGCCCAAGTCCGCGCCGCGCCCCGCCAAGACCAAGAAGATATTCGTCGGCGGCGTCGGCCAGGATACCTCCGCCGACGAGGTGCGCGCCTACTTCTCCCAGTTCGGCCTCGTGGAGGACGCCGTCATGCTGATGGACCAGCAGACCAAGCGCCACCGCGGCTTCGGCTTCGTCACCTTCCACTCGGAGGAGGCCGTGGAGCGCGTCTGCGACATACACTTCCACACCATCAAGAACAAGAAGGTGGAGTGCAAGCGCGCTCAGCCCAAGGAGGCGGTCGCCGCCGCGCCCCTCGCCATCGGCAAGCGCCTCGTGCTGCGCCCCGGCCGCGGCCTCGTGTACGGCGGCGTGGGCGCCGTGCCCGCCGTGGGCGCGGTGGGCGCCGTGGGCGTGGGCGCGCACGCCTACCGCTACGCGCCGTACGCGCTGCCGACGCCGGGCACCATCGTGGCTCCGCCGACGCCGGCGCCGGCGCCCACGCTGCCGCAGTTCGGCGCCGCGTACTCGCTGGCGGGCGTGGACATGTCGTCCTTCCAGGGCGTGGACTGGAGCGCCATGTACGGCCTGCCCATGTACATCTGAGCACCGCCCGCCCCCGCGCCCGCCCCCGCGCCCGCCCCCGCGCCCGCCTACAGAGGTTAGGTCGAAGCAGCTTTTACATTTGTTTTCTCTAATAGTTCCTACGCACGTGCGGCGAGGTCCGCGCGCCGCCGACCCGGAGCGGAACAGTTATCAGTATTCGAGTTTGTTTTGCGGCGACCGGCCCATCGGCGTAGGTTTAAGTCAATTTTTGAACTCGACAAGCAATACGGCCCCCGTCTCGGGACCGCAGGCAAAGATACGCATTTCTTTTTTTTTTATTAAAAATTAATATAAGGCGAAGATCTCAGATAATATTATAGTTTGAGCTGGACGAAAGTAATTTTTTCGTGTATCTGTCTTGGACTTAACGGTAGTTTGTAGTGCACGATCGTTGGTGATTAAAGATTATTATTTATAAACTGTATACTTGATGAATCTCATGCAGATCTGTATTTGTTTCGTAATATTATGTGCACTGCCCTCGGACGCCGGCTGACCGCTAGACGAATTACTACACTACCAGTATTATCTTATTGAGAAGAGTTTGTGCCAAATCACATTGAATACTTAAATGTATTGTCATTAAAGACGACATACTTTTTACATAACGTTGTTAAAGCAGATTAAAACACTGTTTTCAAAATTAAAACGATTAGATACAAGGTCCATTATCTAAAACCTTATTATTTGACGGACAAATCAAACAATATCGATTTTATCTTTATAAAATTTGAAATAACAATCTAGCGAGGCGTCACAAGGCAGAAGAGGGTCAGATTCACGATACTTCCCATACATATCTAACTCGAGTGGAAAGCAATCTCATATAGCATTATTTATGACTTGGTAGTTTTATGATAGCGCTGTCCTATATCGACTCGGTTACTCTCGCAAAAATGATTCGAATAAATTTACAAATATAAATGTGGGTAGTTTTAAATGTCAGAGGCTAAACGAGAGTGAGCGAGTCGAAGTGGACGAGACTTAGTATTATCGATTAGTATAGCAGTTGAGGGAATGCAGACTAACAGCAGTGTCTTGTGACAATAAGCTATGCCACTGTAGATTGTCGCGTCACTTTGCCGCTCGGCCTGCGCTCGGCCTGCGCGTCTTGTATTATAGTTTTACAATTGATGTAGTTTAGTTTGGTACAATTGGTATGCTGGGTTTTCGATTTCCTCCGCCTCTTCTGGTTCAGTGCATGTCTGTATAAAGTGCCAATTGTAGAATTAGATCGCTAACTTACCAGTTTGATTGGTAACGATTTTTGATCGCCTGAGCTCTCTACTCATATTTATTTATAATCAACGTAGTGTTAGATATAATTATATGATACTCTTAAAAGCAATACTTAGTTACACACTGTGATTAGACAAGTATTATACTATAGTTATGAATAAAAGACGTTATATGGTTGTGTTCGTGCAATTTGTAGATTTAAGTCGAAATTTTCTCGGACAAGGTCCTCCAGTATTATTGAATGTTTCCTGATAAATTTTCGGGTCTCTCAAGTACTTAATTTAACCTCGTACTTAAAATTTTTCGATACTTTAAATATTTATTTTATGGTACTTAACTTGTATTGGACAATAAGTCGTTTCGATGCATATCTTACATTTAAAACTTTCTGAAATTGCTCATATTTCGATAATATTTTCTTAAATAAATAAAAAACAGGGTTTGCCTTGAAATGTGTAAGGGGCGTTCTTTAAGCCGAATGGCAAAATCCAAATCGTAAATCTTTTAGAGTCGATGAAAGCGAGACTTTTTTTAACCCTTCCTATAAATGTATTGATTCTTACGTGGCTTATATAGAATTTATGACACCTATTATAATTTTGACGTGGCAAGGGCCAGGCAAAGTGACGCGGATACAGTAGAGGCAAATGCATGCGGTAGCTTCGCCGGCCTCATTCCCACGCCGGCCGGCACACACCTTGTAACCTTGATGTGTGGAAACAAAAACTAAAAAAATCTTTTGCTACAAATACATCGTAAATATACAGGGTTATTTTTTTAATTACCAGAAAAAAACCGATAAAGCAGAATAAATATTCGATCTTTAATATGTAGACTATTTTATCTTGCTTAGCAATCATTAAGTTGACAACAAATTAAAAATTCAAGTGTCAATGTGCAAGGAACACACAAATCAATTTATTGCAATAGACCAAAATTGAGTCTATTTGTAGGATTGTTCATTTTATAAATATGATTATTGCCGGCAATAGAAAGAGCTATGTTTTCTGGTAATTAAAAAACTGTATCAATTTAATGGAGTATTTAACAATTACAAGTGAAATTGCAATCGATGCATTATTTATGAAGTGGTTTCCATACTACAAGGCTACCGAATGCTATACCACATGTGTACACTTACCTATCCTTATTATAGCAGTATTCTTAATATAAGTAGGGTAGAACCTCCTGAGATTATTTGCGATTGCCGGGTTTTTCATATCAAGCACTAAATGCCACATCGTACAAATATCGTGGAAATGCAACTTTAAAGTTTGCAAATTCCGTATCGATTCTTGATTCCTTGACCTCTTGCCAAAATGAAAATTATTGAATTTGATATTGAAAAACTCTGCAATCGCGACGCCCGATGATAACATCTTTTGTATTTTAGCATTTTCCTAAAATTCTCAGTATTAGATGGTTGATATTGTGATGTTTCTTGGTAACGTATCCGCCGTCGGCCGTCGGGCGCCATGTCCGCCGGCCGCGGTGAGATCAGCTCATATAAAATGTGTACTTAATTTTTTCTTATATATATTAATATGTATTGCCCTGTGTAACGCCACTCCGATGAGGAGCGGCTTTACGCAGATATGCCAATATAAGTTTATTTTTTCTCTAAAATACTTGTAATGTTGAATTCGCCGGCGTCCGCCCATGATTGAAAGAGATTGATTTTTTATTTTATGTTTGGTGGACGGGCGCCGGCGGTAGGCTAGCCGTAGTTATTTTGTATTTAGTGGACTTAGTGATTGCCCGTACATCTGTATGTAATGGAGCACCTAGCGGTACCCGATGTGTCATTACATTATTAATATTAGAACAATATATTGTGTGTTTTATTTCGCTTTGCTCCGACCGCGGGGTTAGAATCCTTTGTGACGGGGTGTGGTTGTTTCCTTCACGACATGCTCTTGTATAGTTAGTTTGCACGTCGAGTCTCATTTGCCGAGTAGATTGTCGCCGGGCTACGGGTGAGTATGGGCGGGGGGGGGGCGAGCGGCGGCCACCGGGTAAGTCGGCAGAGTAGCGAACGTTGACGCATGCGTATATATATTTATAATTATGTATACTATATAGCGTAGATTATTTCGTGACTAACATTCGACTCTGACTCGTCTCATGAAGTAATAGGGCATGGTTGGCATGGACTTAAACGATACCGAACGAGTTTCTTCCAGATTCACTGTCAATTCTCTAACAGGCGTTCGCCACACGTTGGTTGTGAAACGTGCTATTATAATATCGCTTTCCAAGATTGGTCTTGCACGAAATTGGGAAAACGGAACGTTGGAATGCACCGTTTCTGAAACTACCCTCATATGTAAAAGTTTAGAATGAAGCGACTGATAACATAAATGGTTCATTCGCTACGTTTGTTGTTTCTCACATCTCGGCAACTTGCAGTATATCTTCGAAAGTGATATTTTTGACGTAGACACGTAGAGTTAGAACTCTTAGTAACGCTTGGCTTGAGGCCTCCAGTCTTCCTCGTTTAACGTTTAAACTATTACGAAATTAATTTGCCAAAAATATCTCGCCAAAACTAATTCGTTTGCTCAATCAATTGTAGAATATTTCGAATGATTCCGCGTGTCGTTTTGGAGCCCGAGTTAACACGCATCTAAAAGTTCTGTGACATGAGATCTTGTATCTATGTTTGCGAAAAACGACCGCTTTCTCGCTGGTGTAGTTTAAGGATAAGACAATAATTTAAAAAGGGGACGTTGCCAGCTCGAACGTTGAAAGAATATTGTTGCGACGTGATGCCATTTTACACATACATTCCTCTCTAGTCATTTTTTACTTAAGGATTTTGTTGAGTGTTTTACGATGAGAAAGTGATACTACTAACCCTTATCTTGCTCAATACTCGTTCTTGCCTCCTAGTTTGTATTATACGAAGGCTTGTAGTTTGTGCCATACACGACGCCGCAGCACAGCAACAGTAGAGGCACTCCATAGCTTCGCAATTCCAGGCTCTCTGGACCAATGTACGACAAAAAGGTTATATTCTCGATTATTAATAAGGTTATAATATACATGGATTATACAACTTTTGGATTGGTATAAAGGTAATGTTAAAAAGTAAATAAAAATACAATGTTGTGTGTTTGAAAGGTGCGGCAGCCGCTAGCGTAGTTACGTAGTGGATGTAGTGATTTTGAAATTTTACATACAATATACTATAGAGGTGTTAAGTATAACTAATCGAAAGCAATAACAAACTTATTTAACTTATTACTAGTAGGCAACGCGCCGCCGCCGGCGCTGAAGGCGCGCGGGCGCGAGGCGGCGGCGGCGTCATCTTGAACGTTATACACTCCGCATACAAGATATTTTTGTATATTAGATTTCGGTGTATTCAGTAGTGAGTTGGTATTTGTATTTTAAACGTTGATACTCGTGATAAAATTACAAACACTTGATAAGTGGAATAATGTGATTTACTTGTTTAATGTAGGGCGCTCGCCGCTTGGGGCGTGCGGCCATGTTTGCTCTTTTGACATTTATCAATGTTGCCATGTGTGTGCAAAGCTTCAAAGTTTAAAATACTACATTATAAAGTTCATACATGGCTATATTCAAACGCAGTCATCCCTATACTATAATTAATTCTAATTTTAAACAATAATTAGCAGCCGCAGTTCTTACCATTGTAATATATTTCTCATTGTAATCTGTTTTTCTCTTCGTAAAGTAATTTAAATTAATAATATATCGTAAGTTGTTAGTGATTTAAAAATTATTTTCCATCTGTTCATATTATTTCCGTTCCCTACCTATTTTGTAAGAATGTTTTAACTTGGCAGCACTGACGTATTTTGGCGCCATTTTCAGATGTCAAAGTGACGCTAGCGTTTTGATATTGCAGAGTCGCAATAGAGGCTGTATTATTAACATTCCTTTGTGTATATTTTGTGTAATCGCATTTTTATTTATGGTAGCGTACCTGTTTGAATAAAGATAGTTTTCTCTTATAATAGTTATAGTAGATATGGGCTGTTTTTATTTTATCTACACCGATTGCTACAGATTATATTGTGCAATATGTAATGGATTTTTCTCTATTGTATAAAGTTGTCAGTTTTAACCCGTAGCTGTAATTGGGGGGATAGGTTGCAGGTGTGTAGATTTCCTAAAATGATTTAACTTGTTTGTCCCGGACCATAGATTATATGATTGACTTTTTTTGAATAACTCATTTTTTATACTGGCCTATAATGACGACAATAAATGTACTATTTAAAAAAATCTATAGTTTTTATAATTTGATAATCTGTTTTAAATTTTTATCAATATCAAAGTAAACGGTACTAATGGCCAGTTTTTATTGTCTTTAATTACATGATCTATGTGAAGGGATTTTAGTGAGAGTGTCGCTTCCGTTGTTAAGATCTGAATGTTTTTTTTGTAATAGTACCCACCATAGGGTCAGTCATACTGTAGTTATGTAAACAGCGCCTGGTTTGAGCGGGAATTGAATCATAGTAACACTATGCTTCTTATTCGGAAGGCGCCTACACCATAGGCGGGGACTCCTAGAGCCCCTTAGCAACGCTGTAGTGAGCAGGCCGCGCGCCTCCTTTCGAAGCCTTTAAAGTAACAAAATATTCTATGGTTCATCTTCACTTAGTCAAGTATTAGAAATAAATGGTAATAAACACAGCCGATCTTTCATTTATCGCTTTTTCGTACCTTGAATTAGTTTTACTATATTTTGTTTTTAATACCAAAAACGTAGTCAGCTTCGAGACCCATGTTGGGCGCCAGTACAGATCATTTTATTAGTTTTAAATCTACCCCCAGTTTTGAGTAGTGTCTAGTAATGTGGGTAGTACGAGAAGTTCTTTCAGTGTATATTTGATATAGCCTCTACCGAAACAAGTACGCTCTTCGACTGGGACAAGTGTTTCTCTTTTATAAAATCAAGTAAGCAACAATTCTTACGTACGTTCTTATTGGCTAGCTATATCAGTATAGACTGTTTGGAGGAGTTGGCGATTGGACCTAGATGCATGGTGACGTCAGTACAGTATGCAGCGAGTTTTAGCGGTGGAGTTGTAGCGAGCATGACTGGGTGCCCACTGCCGACCGCTGCCGAGGACACGTCCGGCGTGGAAGACGGAAGATCGACGACTGGCATTTTTATACAAGGCAATACTGAACTGAGCATTAGACTGAGACAATGTCTCTTTTCGGTAGACGCTTTGTAATACTGAAAAGAGGACCAACTGTGTGTACGATTTTTTTTTCAATTGGCGATTTTTTTTAATTTGGTCAGTATTGTCTTGTTTTGCAGGCGACTGCTGCCCCAGGCTGAGTTCATCCTTATCTTTACAATAGAAGTGCATCCCAGTAAATTAGATCTGTAGACGAATAGACATATTTGGGTGCTGGGTTTTAAAAGTTGGTAATATAATTGTAGATGAATGGATCAGTTTTTTTTCTTATAATAGTGATGAGGTTCACTTGAAACGCTTTAAGGGAGTTTATTTTTTGAAATTATCGAGTAGTAGTAGTTTTTAGTAGTTTAAAGATTTAGATGAGAATTTTAAAAGCATATCATCAAAACCCCATGATGTAGACACAAACATGTTGTGCCTTACTTTAGTTTTGAGACGGTATAAATAACGCTTTGTCGATGGAAATGCTGGCAACTCTAGACGTAGAACTCGGACCAAAGACAAATAGCTTGGGAAATGGAGACAATATTTTTTGTAAAAATTTATCGTTGTTTTGAAACTTTGGCGTTGAGACGTCATTAAATACATTACGAATTAGATGTTTTGTTTTTTACATGATGGTAGTGTATTTTATAGAAAACTATTTGTAAACGAGGAACAGTAAACGATAGCGACCCCATCAGTCGTAGTACAAAGTAAATTAAGTATTTTGTAATGGAAAATTGTAATGTCACTTTTGACATGTCTTCCTTAAAAACGATAGACTGATGTTAGTCACCCGTTATGTACCGTTTGATATCCCGTCTCGCTGGGATGCACTAGGTTTGGTTTGACGTAGGAATGCCATAGACAATGTGAGGGCGCTTGTTCGGACCTCAATCTGTCACATTTGACGTTTAAACTTATTAAAATTATATAACTAAATCAAGGACATGGTCTGAAAAAGTGCTTTTTCAAATTAAACGAATGGTTTTTATTGGATGTAGTTAATTAAGATTGTTCAGTAGATGTACCCCTGTACGAGACTAACGCAGTGTGCCTCATGATGTGACAATATCCTTAGATTGCGTATTTCAGTCTGTCTTTATTGTCTGCGAATTTGTTATTACCACTTTCTTACTTGTTGAATTTCCGTTTTTATAAAATATTAAATTCAAAAATATCACAGCTTGTGGTAAAAATGAATACGTTTATCTGTGATTTTATGGACTTGTAATTATTTCATTAAATACGTCGACATTTCTAGTCATTTTAGTTATTGAAGCGTTTAGTATAGTCGAGAGGTGATTTTGAATCAGTTATAGTTTAGTGTTGTTTTTGCCAGTTTTATTGGCACGGCGGCTTGGGTTTCGCACGAGACGTGTGGTTTCGTGCGAGTTACAAGTCGCCTTCCAACATTTAGTTAACACCCTGTATATATCTAGAGTAAGGAAATGTCATACTCAAAAATTGTATGTGTAAGTTAAAATATTTCGTATTAGGGGTGTCTAGATTAGGTATTTTCTCTATCTCTCTCTTGTTTGGATAATTGAAATTTGAATAATAGTTTTTTTCTATGAATTTCGAGTAGTTTTGGTCGTTAAAGTATCGGGCTTGGGTGGAGTGTTTACGAACTGAATACGTAAAATATTTCAATGTTGTTTCGTTTGAATTAATTAAAACAATCTAACAACACTTCACTCTTTCCCCGATTGTTTTTTAGATATCAAATTAATATTAAATGCCCCACGAATTTGTAATATTTTAAGACCATAACCGAAAGTTCATATTTACATTTAGATGTAGCAGATCGTTTGTAATTCATCCTTTTATCGGGTATGTATAGATTTTTTACTGTAATTGAACTATATCATTACATATGGCAACACAATTGTTCTGTCAAACTGTGTTGTTATATACAAGAGGGAAATGTGATTATTTTCGTTTAAGAATTATCAATATCTGAATTCTAATAATATAGACAGATATAGCACATTTTTAAGGACCTAATAAATGTTTTATTGGTAACGAAAATTGATTACGAAGTTGCTAAAATAAAATCGTCATATCGTAACGTTGAGCATGAAAATTGCATTTGGCAAATACAATTTTGGGAATTAACATTATTTTATAATGGGAATGGTCACATATCCTTAGAGTATTCAAACAAGGTTCTATTTAACTAGTCGAGCGTAGTTTTTAAATATGAAGATATATGTATTGAGAGTTTTAAATTAGCTTTGGATATTATCTACATGGTAACACTGGCCGGCGCGGAGCTCCCGCTGCGGCCACATCGCTGCGATTTGAAATTCGAACAGTTTGAAAATAAACGGTTATTTAACGAATAAATGGTTTACAATTCGACTTGTATTTTTATTACCTCTTACATTATAGTCTTAAGGAAGTTCTAATTACGCTCTCAGTATAATAATAATAATTAATTAATTAATTAATGACCTCAAAAACACTCAAAAACAACTCAACAAACAACTCAAAAACACATCGCAACCTAATATACTTGAACATAAAATGCAAACGGGAAAAAATACATTATTTGATTATAACTGATGATTAAAATTGCCGAGATAAAAAAACACTAAACATTAGGCATTCTAACCATGTGTTGCAATGCAGAACTGATAGGGCCTCTGCTCAGCTATATGTTAGTACCCCTGGGGGTAAAAACGCTGATATTCTGCAAAAGCCTTTGTGTCCTCCGTACGTCAGTTTTACATAGTGAATGTGATCATTCTCCTTAAAGTTATGAATAATAGAAATTAAGATTAATCAAAGAAATTAAATTAGAACAGAACCGCTGAGTAATTTGAAAACCTGAGACAATATACCACTAACCAGAGGTTGAGAAAGGCGTATGCCGTGTGGGAGGACTTTACAGCCTCGAGCTTTAGGGTAAAAGAAGCTAAACTGAACTCTAAAACATAGGAAATAAAATATCCAAATTTCAATCGACACATTGTTAAAATTGAGATATATTAAATCAGTGAAAACTATACCAGAGTTCTGTCCGTATCTAATTAGCGCCAAAAGCAACACAAACCTACACTGATACAGCGAAAGTACACCTTCAACTAGAATGTTCGGTGAAAGTCCAGGTCCAGGTTCATCTGCAGAGCGATCCCTTGGGATTATCCATCTATGATACGTGTCTATCAAATGATCAAAATATACTTAGTTACAATGAGAGACCAATTAAAGAACACATTTGAAACTATCGCACAACTGTTCTCTCGCTTTGGTTCCTCTGAGCCAATATGGAGGTGCAATACTCGATGTTTACTTGTGCAAAACAGTTGAAGCCTGCAAAACAATCGACAATCGCATAGCAGTTGTGCGTAGTTTAGTCAAAAGTTCACATGTTAATTTTACTCTAAAACAGGAACCAAAATAAAATACTACTAGCGCCATCTATTATAATTTTAATGTACTACAACTTCATCCGAATAGAATTTATTTTATAGTGTGTCTAAATAATTTAGATTAGTTTGACAATTCCTTTCAAATTTAGTAGGGATGGATTGTGTAAAATCAGTCATGAATCTTATCGATTTTCGGTTTTTATTCTTATAGAAGTTGGACTCGATACATTCATAATTATAATTTATGAATAAAAAAACACAGTTTTCTCAAATTAACAATCACCCGAAGAGCAATTACAAATAATGGGAGTAAATAAATATTTATTACTACAGTCGTACATAATAGAATTGGATTTTGCTATTATTTCTGTCATCGCTAAATTCTCTACACTATAATCAATACTAGAATTGTCCTATAAGTCAAGAAAACAATAATTTTAGTTGAGTTCGATAATTATTTAAACCGAATATCGATAGTTCTAAATTGTTCGCTGCGTGTTTGTTTCGTCACTACGATACCTGTCTATTAAGTATGGCATTTACCTTCATACAAATTGAATTCGATACTTCATATGCGTCACATATCAAACTAATCTATCTTATTTAGACACACTATAGACAGAAAAATAATTACAAAACGAGAATTTGAACTTATAGCAAGGACGTTATGCATGAAGGAGCGTATGCTGTGGAAGATGATGGGAGACCAAAGTTCCAGTAATGACCTGATAAACAAACAACGATGGTAAAATAAGCACTAGAGTATACAAGTAACGTTTTCCTTGTTACGGAAGCTAAAAAAAAGCGTCTTAGATTTTCATTATAAACTACTAATTTAACTTTGTCCATAATAAATAGGACTTAAAACTTTAGAGCTTGTGTCAACAGTTATTATTATAATAAAAAACAATTATATTTCTTTAGATATCAACGTTACACACCTGACCATTGTGAAGTAAAAAATGTCGCTTACTCGTACATTTTACTCGAGTTTAACATCGCATCTGTCTAATGAAAAAAAAAACAATTATAAACGCATTTCGCAAACATCTCACGTGCGCACGAAGCGCTTTATTTGTTCCTTGAATAAACGACGCGAGCTTTAGAGCGCCGTAATTGCTGGAGAGTGTTCCCGAGTCTCGCGCGGTTTTCATATTTTTTAATGTCCGAGCATGCGGGCGGCTCGTTCACATTATGCCACGTCATTTAATTTTACTCCATTCTAAATTGAATTGAAACTACTGATATTTTTATTAAGTATGAAATGTTTTAATAATAAATAAAAGTTAAATATAAATAAAAATGCAAATTAAGTAACAAAATAAATAAATAATAATTTAGCTTTTATTGAATTGCAAAATAATGTACTTGTCTAGCCTTGATGATAAAAATTCGAATATGTCTAGTTCAAAAACACAAGTTTTCAATTTTATTTCGTAAAATATCGGTTACAACGTTCAGTGTAATGGAGCCAGTGTCCACAGGTCCACAGGTTGCTAAAACATTTCTTATTTCCGACCGCAACGCCCAAATAATGACAATGGCCGAGTTTAAATTATTCGCACGCGCGCTCGTGGAATGTGCTTTGATTTTTTAATCAAAGGCATAGATTAAAAATATTAGACGTTCATTTTGGCGCGCGAAATGCTCTATGTTAAATTTATGACATTCGACAAAAATTTAAATCGTTCCACGGAAAATTATTACGATGTGCTTTTATTTGCATTTGGCGCGAAATACGCAAGAGGAATTTTTTTTAATATTGTTGGTTATACGCAAACATTAAATTCCTTCCCAACTACTTTTTCTCTCTTAGTACTTATTTAAAAGAAAACATACACATTTATAATAATAAATCACTATTTCCAACAATGTCTGAATGTACGGTTTGTTTGTGACACACACGAAATCACAAATTTTACGCGCGAAAACACTGGACGGGAAAAATTGTGCAACTGTCAATGTCAGGCAGAAGTAACGGCGAGTATAAAGCCAGCGGCTTAGAAAATTGTACAGAATGCTTGTAAATAAAATAATAAAAGGAAACAAAGAAACGCATAGTAAATATTTTACGCGTGAACAATATTTCTTACTACATTAGATAACTTAAATAACAAAGATAACAGTCCTATAATACAATCTTAAATTAATTTAATCCTTTTTGCCTCTAAAACCTAAAAACCATTCACTAATGTAACGAGTAATAAAAAAACAAATGTCATTACGAAACCAACGTAATCATTTTTCCCGCCGAACGGCCAAACGGGCGTAATGGCCTGTGAAGTGATAAGCCGCGCCTCACATCGCAAAATTTATGACCGAGCCTGACATAAACCTCTAAATCTAATACAGAATAACTATAACACATTGTTTATGTGAAATAGTAAACTGCCACATAATTCCTTGATTTTCCTTTTTTATCCATCGCTGTACAAAGAAAAGGAAGTCAAATCTACGTAAATATTCCCTCGTATACATTATAGAGGGATAGAAAAGTTGGAACAATTTTGCGCGCTGCTTTTTTTTGTAGTACAAAGTGAGAAACGAGTAAGCGGCTACGTGGAATCCGCATTCACAAATGCGTTGCCTACCTTTAATTAACAGAGGACGTACAAAAAGAGTATAATTCCCCTATCAATATATCCCATTCTCTACCAAATACACTTGCCCTTCCCATCTTCTTTGTATTCTTTACAACATATCTTGTTTATATTAACAGAGACGTTAATATACATTGTAGTTAATTGGAACATTATTCAACACGAAGCGATCCATCATGGCGGCTAGCTGAGAGACGCCGCACCTGAGAGCGCCCTCTAGCGGCTAATCTGCGTCAGTCCAGTTATTAATTAGAACTAAATCCAACAGTTTATGGTTGTTATGTGTTTGATAAAATTAATTTCTAAGTTAAGCAATAGCTGTTGCTCGCGACTTCGCCCGCGTAACATTAAAAATAGCCTATGTTACTCACAGATAAATAACCTTTCTAACGGTGAAGGAATTTTTAATATCGATCCAGTAGTTTTTGAGTTATTGCAATACATACAAAAATATTAATCATTCCTTTTTATAATATTAGTATAGTTTCACAGTTTCCAAGACTTTGTAAAAGATTTTTCCAAGATTTTATCTATACTATAATAATAAAGCGTAAACACACACTTCTTTGTTGCCTTAGATGTCAGCAATTACAGCATATTTATAAATAAAATGCCCTACACTTACGTCACGCTTTAGGCTATATATTTTAACGCCATTAAACTTAGTAGGTAAATATTTTGGATCAAAACCCTAATGTAGAAAAGAGACCATAAGTTCCTGCTAACATCAAGGAAGCAAGGTTGCCATAGTTTGTCATCATGTCATGTCATTTTGACTTTTGCAATTGACAATTTGACAAATTTTCGGATGATGTCACACGGGAACAGCTTGTATCAATTACATCTCAATGCTGCTTATTTTAACACAACTTAATTTTTAAATATTAAGATAAGACGAATAAAATCACTTTTAATATATCCTAAATACTTTATACATGAAGTTTCAAAGGGTCTATTCACAATAATCACTTAGAAAATCATAAATTAATTATTTATCCGCCATGTAGCGAGGCTAACAACCGCTTTATTCAATTTTAGCTATTTTGGCGCCAACGCGAAATGGCGCGCTAAATGACCTGTGAACCTGATAACACGGTATGTGCCACATTGTACTGGCGACAGCGATTTATAATCTTATGAACTACATTTAGTATGAATTCATAATTTGTATAAAATACATCACACATAAAGAACATGAATTATTGCCTGGCTGATCAATTCCACTCATATGAAGACATCAAAAAATAACTTGATTCGTGGATAGCCTCAAAAGACGAACACTTCTGGCGTCAAGGTATTCGAGCTCTACCAGAAAGATGGGAAAAATTTGTGTCTAGCGATGGGCAATACTTTGAATGATTCATTTGTAATCATTTTTTTTACAATAAAGTTATATTTTTATCGAAAAAAAAAGCGAGAACTTAGTTGCGCACCTAATATATAATTAACAAGTTTGTATTATGTGGGAAAAAAATAATCGAGTAGTTTTCCATACTTGGATAGCCAATAGATTTACTGTTTTCATATTTTAAATAAATTGAAAGTTATGGCTCCTATACCTTTTATTAAACTCTCATTTATGTAATTTAATTTCTTAAAAAGAAGCATTAAATTGCTTGTCTTAACTAATATCGATTTTTATTATTAAAATCGCTTCTCGTGTGTAACAAACTCTCGTCCTTTACATTGTACAACTCATTGGTTTTCTATCGCCATTTATCGCGACGGTAAATGATTTGTGACGTCACTGCGCTTTAACAAACTTCTATGGGGACATCAGTTTTAGTCGAGAACAATCGACCTTTTGAATGTAATTTATAAATTAAAAGATTATATTATTATTAAGAGACTAGCTGTTCCCTTGCGACTTCATCCGCATGAAATTAGGAAAATTTTAATTTATTGTTTACATTTGTCAAATTATCAATTGCAAATGTCAAAATGACATGACATGAAGACAACCTTGCTTCTTTGATGTTGGCAGCAACTTGTAGTCTCTTTCCCATATTAGGGTTTTTATCCAAAATATTTACCCCCTAAATTTAAAGATGTTAAAATATATAGCCTAAAGTGTGGCCTTGGTGTAGGGATTTTTATTAAAAAAAGAATTATTCAAAAATATGCAGTAATTGCTGGCATTTTACACAAAGAAGCACAAAGAAGTGTGTGTTTACGCTTTTTTTTATTTATAGTGAGTAAGTATAGATATTAAAATAGCTATGATAGAAAATAAAAGGCTGTGAATACCAAGAATAAGTAGTCTGATGTGACGTAAATTTATAAATTCTAATAGTAACGGAGTTTAGTCTATACAAATTTATATTAGACGTAACAAAAAACAATTATTTTCTTAATAATTAACGTATAGAACTAGGGACTCTTATTTTAATAAACTTTTTAGGAACTTTTTAACAGCTTTTTGTCTCAATATTTTACGTTTACGTTTTCACAATTAAAAACTAGATGGCGGTAGGTGTTCAAACTAAAAAAATAAAATTATAAAACGAAACTAAATTAATGTATACTAGGTGTTTTAATACTTTTTGCTTCCTTTTATAAGCCTTAATGTGATATTTAAAAAATAAATAATTCAATTACAATGTTCAATTAAAACAATAAAACATTTGTAAAGTCGGAAACGGAACGGTCTTGACTCTGGCATCTGGCATTGACAATCAGCTGTTTATTAACCTAAAAAAGTAAAAGTTGAGAAATCGAAATAAATAAACATTACATATTATAACATATTAATATCCAAAATGCGATATCTATCACAAATATTTCAACCTGTTATCACAATACCAAGGGATGCGGTCATTAAAAATACTGAAATAACTTGTAAAAGTCAAAAAGTAAGTCTCGACAAAATAACATTAAATTCCTTATTTGTTTAATTAAAACCTTATTTGTTTTCCAGCTTCTCTTAGAATGTGGTCTAGTCCGACCGACCAGTGCTGGATTCTTTACGTTACTGCCTTTAGCTCGGAGAGTAGTTAATAAACTGGAAAATTTGGTAAATCAATGTATGGAGGAAATTGGAGCTCAAAGGATGTCTTTACCATCATTAACTGCTTCTAAACTGTGGGAAAAGACTGGTAGATTACAAGATGTTGGCGTGGAGTTGCTAAAAGTCGAAGATAGACATGGAAAAAAGTATTTATTGTCACCTGTGAGTATTTTCACTCGGTATGTTTGGATATGTTTTCGGTTAATGGAAACTCGGTTTAATATATCTTTCAGACACATGAAGAAGCGATGGCAGATCTATTAGCAGATATTGGACCGTTATCTTACAAACAATTACCACTACTGTTATATCAAGTGAGTTTTAATTAATAACTTTTGTAACTTCATCTGCAAATAATCAAAGATTTAGTAATAAATATACTCTATGTTACTCACAGATGAATTACCTTTCTAACGATGTAAGAATTTTTAAAATCGGACCAGGAATTATGATTTATTTCAATACATACAAAAAGCCAAAAATACAAATCATTCCTCTTTATATTATTAGTGTAGCTTTTGCCCATAACTCTATCCCCGGGGAATTAAAAAAGTAGCCTATGTGTTCTTCCAGACTATCCTCTACATCTATGACAAATTTTATCAAGATCCGTTCAGCAGTTTAGGCTACAAACTCTAACAAACATCCATATAAATACACATAAAAAAATCTAAATTTTAATCTTAAATTAAAATATTACTAAGATAAACTACACTTTGCAATGTTAAGGCTAAACTAACAAAATGTGACATCATTTTGCCCTTACAATATTCAATGTATAGCTTTAAAGATAGAAGACCGAAGAAAGTATAGATGGATTGTGTGGTAGAGGATATAATAAGGGAGTGACTTCAGATATGGCTGATAGATATGTACAAGAGCAACACATATTGTGCTGACCCTCCATAGGGACAAAGGCTGCCTACCTACTTAGTGTGTATGCACTACTCTTCTATACATCTCTATCCTGAATATCTGACACCCCCTTTAGTTTCTTAATATTTTATTTTTCCTTCCTTGTATAACTTTTTAGATAAGCAACAAATTCCGTGATGAACCTCGTCCGAAGCACGGCCTCCTGCGTTCCAGAGAGTTCTCTATGTTAGACGCGTACGGCGCGCATACAACACCCGCGTGTGCGAGCGAGACATACGATAGAGTGACAAGCGCGTATAGAAAACTGTTTGACATATTACAACTACCAATACACAGGGGTAAGTTGTTGCTGTCTTTATCGTTATTTAAGAGTGTGAAACTGTAGACTAGTGATTTCCAAAGTGAATATCGACCCCTAGGGGTCTATGACAACATGCAAGTAGTTTACGTCAGCGAAAAAATATTTGGGGGTCCTAGAAATGAAAATTGGAATCCATGATAGTGGATCTTATATACACTGATAGTAACTATTTACTTAGAAATTTGTTTTGAGTAGATTTAATTCAATTAATAATTGTATAAATTATAATAATATGTTTTTTAAAGTTCACTACAGTTAGAAATTTATAGGAAATCAATATCAGGTAAGTAGGGGGTCTACGCAACACGGAAAAAAATAGCAAGGGGTCTACGACACAAAGTTTGAGGAACTCGTGTAGACAATATTAAAACCAACTATTTGCTATCTGTTCCCTATAGCTTTATCTGTATCATAATATAAAAATAGTTTTTTTTCAAATACTCAAATGATAATATACTTGCTGAGAATTTAACCATGGCAACTTTGATTCTTTGCAGCTATAGGCTTATACTTTATGTCCCTTTCTATTAGAGCTATATTTTCCTATTCATTCTCCCTTAAATTTAATAATGTGAAAATAAATGTATAACTCAAAAATATGCATTAACTAGCTTTCGCCCGCGACTCCGTCTGCGCGGAATTATAAAATCAAAAGTAAGTAGCCCATGTGTTCTTCCAGACTATCCTCTACATATATGAAAATCATCAAGATTCGTTCAGTAGTTTAGGCTACAAACTCTAACATACATCCATCTAAATTATCCCATTTATAATATTAGTAAGATTGACATCTCATATAACAAAGTGTATATGTTTTATTATATTCGTATTGAAACTTTTATATACTCGTAGTGTCAGCCCCGAGTGGTGCCATGGGTGGCACTCTCTCACACGAGTGGCAACTACCCGCTGATGCTGGAGAGGATATCCTCGCGGTGTGTCATAAGTGTGATAGTATCGCTCGTGCACACAACGAGAGTAAAGTCTGTGATAAATGTGCGAGTGAGACGCAATATGTTAACAGTATTGAGGTAAGAAAGAGATAGTTATAATTTTTAAGACATATTATTTTTTTAACAGTAACTTCGCAATTAAATAGTTTTTTAGGGTCTGTCCCAACACCGGCTGATAGAGGCTCAGATAGCTTAAAAGTCAGAGTACCAAAATATTTTATACGTTGGATTGTTTTCTGACAATTTACAACCTTAGTGTAGTGAAACCGAACTATTGGCCTAGGTGGCCTAGGTGGCCTAATCGTCCCAGTAGTTTTTGAGTTTTTTCAATACATACAAAAATACAAATCTTTTCGTCTTTATAATATTAGTATAGATAAGTTGAGGGCTATGTGATGTATAATTTGGGTGTGGGCTTGCATTGCCCACTCCCCCAGGTGGGGCACACGTTCGTGCTGGGCGCGCGGTACAGCGCCGCGCTGGGCGCGCACTACACCGCGCGGGACTCCACGCCTACGCCCATATTTATGTCCTGCTACGGGATTGGAATAACCAGGTAATTATAAAATATTCGGTTTATATTTAAAGTGTTGCCCACAAACTTCATTAGTGCGGAATAAAAAAAAATGTCTATAACATTCTCGCGTGCATTACCTTCTTTCCAGTTAAAGTCCCGTTAAAATTGACTCAGCCGTTTCTGAGAGTTGTCGGAACAAACGCGAATTGCGGACACACAGAAAAAAAAATCCTATTTTTGATATGAGAAACGCAAATACATCATTTTAAAATCTGGATTTTATATTTAACACACACATTTTTATTTTATTAACTGTAGTTCGTTACAAGAAAGAGAAAATAGATATGATTTTACGTAAGAGTAAAAGAGATAGACTGTTAAAATATTGCTATAGGTAATAATGTAATTATTTTGAGCACGTGTGTAATGTCAAGTATAGAATAAGGTTTTAGTGCGATATTTGTGACAGGTTGCTAGCGGCCAGTGTGGAGGTTTTAGCTAACGACAAAGCACTTCGTTGGCCGGACGCCATCGCTCCATACAAACTTCTTATAATTGGACCTAAGGTATGTATTTCTACATAACTCAAAAACTACTGGGTAAAAACTAATTAAAGTCTTAATTTACTTATAATATTATTATTTAAGCCGTCTTTAGTTCGTTTTTGTTAATGTCTCAGAAATGTTTAAATAGCTTAACTACTGGGTAGTTTTGATTTAAAAAATGAGTTCAAAGTATGTATTGAAATAACTCAAAAACTACTGGGCTAAAAATTCTTTCACCATTAAAAAGCTGCGTGAGTAACATAGGCTGTGTTTTTACTATTTTTTTACACTTATACGTAGACAAAGTCGCGAGTAACAGTTAGTAATTAATAAAATTTTTAAAACCACATTAATTGTTAAGTAATTTGTAATTCAGTACGTTCTTAAAATGTCAGGAGGGTTCTAAAGAATGGTCTATGCACGGCTGGGAGGAGGTGCAGACCCTGGGCCAGGAGTTGGAGGCAGCCGGGCTGGCGGGGGAGGTGCTGCTGGATGACAAGCATAGTCATACAATTGGCAGGCGGATGAAGGCCGCTGACAGGTCTGTTAATGTCCGCAAAACTTTATACTTCAATTAATAACCTAACATTTCTTTAATTTAAAACTAGACTGAGTATTTAATATATTCGAAAACACCTAAAAAGGATTGATAAGTAAAAAAAATGAGATTCGAACTCGATTTTTTCATTATTTTTTTAGAATTTTAATTCTCACGTCCACTGTAGATGTTTTGAGTTGAAATAATATATCCTATGACACTCTTAGGAAGCAGACAAATCTAATGACACATCAATCAACAAAATCTGTCCATTACTTTAGGGTGTAGGCTGTTACAAAGAAAACATACAAACCCATATATTTTTTTCAGAATGGGTTATCCGATGATAGTAGTCTGCGGCCGCTCGACGACAGAAAATCCACCTAAATACGAACTGTATGTAAGCAAAGGTGTCGGCTACACGAAGCCAGTCTTACTGGCACGCACTGAACTTATTACTGAAGTGGCAAGGATTGCTGGAAATGGTAACATTGATGTAACTGTCAAAGATAGCAAGGAAAAACATGTGGTTGAAAATTAAAATGCTTGCACCAAATAATTGATGTTTTTTTTTATCCTCACCTGTAGAAATAAGATAAGCTAACAAGCTATAAGATTACCGAATACACAATTTTTATTGCGTTTCTTTTATAAAGGTAAATTGGCTGTACAGCCATATAGCTTTTGTCTTTTAGACAAACAAAAACAAACGTCAATGTCATTGAAAATAAATGAAATTAAAAAAACACAGGAAATAACGAATCGATTTTTGTAAGAATCGATATTTTAATTAAAGAATAAGTAAAATCTAGCTTTATTCTTGAAAGTTAGGTACTGCAGTTTACCCTTATAAATCAATTTCATTTATTGCTGTTGCAAATGTCTACAATATCAGTAATTTATTAAACTCGAAATAAACTTCATTTTTTTTTTTGGGACTTTGAACCTTTTTGGATAGCAAACATTACAGAAACGAAATCGATATTTTGACACATCGATACAATCTATTATGTCATGTCATTCCTTGTATATTCTATTGCACAATAAGTGATTTAAAAAATAAATATCGTCATCGCAATTCATAAAATAATTTAATTATTCTAGTCTTGATTTATTCAAGCTGGCATCAAAACGATTATACGTGTTAGGCTTTCACGGCTTTTCACCAACTGTCCCTTTTCGTACTGGTTTTCGTAGGTAAGTTATTTAAAATATTATAAAAAGGCAATTTATATAACTTAAAATAATTTATAAATATGTTATTTCACCAAGTGTGCATAATGTGACAAGATTAGAAACAGCACGGAGTAATAAGATTGTTTTTTTTTCCATTTAATGGAAGTTTACATTTCAATTATGATATTAACGAAAGTACAAAATTATCATCAATGTTTACTACACTTTTCATCACTAGTTTTGGTTTAACCTAACAAAAGTTTTCTTATCCAACTGACAAAGTGGGTAATGTTTTTCGCGGGTAAGTTTATTCTTATGTATGTATGTCTGTAAATTCTATTTTACAGCCTACAGCCTAATCTACTAAACTGATTTTGTTAAATTTGGTATCATAAGACCCGTCTCTTGAGTGTCAAAGTAATGGTATCACCACAAAACACTTACAGTTGATGTGAGAATTAAATTTCTATAAAAATGGTGGATAAACTGAGTTCCAATCTCACTTGTAATTGCTTTTTATTAGTTTTTTAATATTTTTCAATAACATTAATACATAGAAAGTAGTCAGTTGAGATATTAAGATTTTTTAATTAAATAAATTGTTTACATTACAATTCCCATGTTCATTTTATTAATTACAGCTTCTACCAGTGTCGCAACAAATCGGGCATGTCTAATTACGCGGCAGAAGCACCAGCGGGCCCCGGGCCGGGCGGTGCTCGCATCTCCCCCATACCTGTAGAGTATACTTCATACTCTGTACTCAAGAGATACAATGATATTGTCAAGTCTAAAGAAGATAAACGGGAGTACAGGTAACATAAATTAGTACAACTAACTAAGTTAAACCCAATAAATAGCTTTAGGCGAGGTCCCTTTGTTTAACTTGTTAAAAAAAAAACTAAAACAAAGGTTTTTTTTTAACATGTGTAAATACAGCCAAAGAGGTTGCATACTGGCCAGCAAGACATTGCATGGAAAAGATGCAGACAAGAGGTCAAGATGTGATCACGATATAGTTTTGTTAATTAATTGTAAATATGTAGATGAGTTTAAAAGTTATTTTAGTTGGAAGTCTTCCGACTAAAATAACTTTATGTCTTGCTGACCAGTATGCAGCCTCTTTGGCTGTATTCACACTTGTCAGTAATTATAAAAATAATAAAAATTTTGCCCATATTACATACAGTGATAACATAGCTTATTAATGGTGCAAGGATTTTTGAATTCGTCCCAGTAGTTTTTGAGTTATTTCAATTCATACAAAAATACAAATCTTTATAACATTAGTATAGACTAGCTTATTAAAAAAAAACCAAGTATCCTATGTGTTCTTCCAGACTATCCCCTACTATGCCAAATTTCATTGAGATCCGTTCAGCAGTTTAGGCTACAAACTCTAACAAACATCCATCTAAACTTTTACATTTATAATATTAGTATGATATATAAAACCATTTTTGATTGATATATGTTAAAATTTATTATGTAGAAACTTTAAATAGTACAAGATAATAGTCAAGAGTAGGCCCTGCCTGAAACACAGGTACTACCAGTGGGTAATCATAGTTCAGAAGACAGAGTCCCATGGAATTTGTACTAAATTGTTTTGCTATAATAAAGATTTTTATTTTCAGAGGTCTAGAGTTGACGAATAGATTGAAAGTGCTGTTGGTTAGTGATCCGACCACAGACAAGTCCGCTGGGGCTATGGCTGTTAATGTTGGTGAGTAAAATATTATATCTATGGTAAATTGAATATTTACTTGTTTTCTGTAAACTTTTGTATATCAATGACATTGACAATGTGTTCTAATTTCAAATAATTCAAATTCTTCCTTTTTCTAATGGCTTGAGACCTAAAAACATGTAAATACTTCTTGAACACAAAGACATTTAAGAAATGTAGACTAGGCATAGTGAATTTTTTCACCGGTACTTTCTCTGAAAGGTTTCAAGTTTAGTGCCACCTTTTGTATTGACATGTCATAAAACATCACGTCGTGTCATTTTGACATTTGCTATTGATAATTTGACAAATGTAAACAATAAAATGATTTTTTTTATAATTTTTTATGCGAATGAAGTCGCATGGGAACAGCTAGTTTTGATATAAAATAAATTAGTGTCTTAAAATAAAATGTAATTTTTTATATAAACTGAAGCTGAAACTAAGTGTTAAAATAAATTAATGAAAATTCAATTTATAGCGAGTAATATAAATATAAAATACTAGCTTTCACCCACGACTCTGTCCACGTGGAATAAAAAGGAACAAAAGCATGTAGCCTATGTGTTCTTCCAAACTGTACTCTACATGTATGCCAAATTTCATGGAAATCCGTTCAGCTGTTTAGGCTACAAACTCTAACAAACATCCATCTAAACTTTCGCATTTATAATATTAAGATTGCGAAATACAGTATTATGGCTCCCATGTGAACTGTTGTAACCCATAATTTTATTATTTGTATTTTGATTTCAACTAAAGAATTAAGTTATTTAAAAAATCACAAATATGTAAGTATAATTGAGAAATAATATTTTTTAGGTTACCTAAGTGACCCTGATGAACTCCCAGGGTTGGCACATTTTTGTGAACATATGCTTTTCCTTGGCACTAAGAAATATCCGCAGGTAATTGTATAGTTCATTTTCAATTTTCTACTTAAGACCAACTCGCTGAGAAATTTCGGATTAGATGTATTCTTGCCTTTTTAATGTATTTTTTTCCGACTTCAAATTTTCCAACCGAGGAATTTCTCAACTTGTTTTTTGTGGCTAATTGGATAACTGATTGTTTTTTTTTTGTGATGCGAAATACATTTTTTTTTTCAAAATATTTTTTAAATTAAAAACTATTCAATCAATTTTAGCTTTTTTAAATGCATACCAAATATAGATTTTTTTTGTCTTGTAGTCTGTTTTCGTTTTTTATATTTTTTTTATTTCCGTTATTCAAAATACAATGTTAATTTTTTCAAAATGTTTTTCAAAATCAAAAACTATTCAATAATTTTTAGTTAAAAAAAACACACCACCTTACCTTACCACATATAATTTTTTCTTGTAGTCTGTTTTCGTTTTTTTTTAAGATAAAGGAAAACCTTTTTTTGAAGTAATTACAATATATAAACTTACTTAAGCTCCAAGCTGAGAGGGGATCGGATAAATCTACTCTAAGCTACCCCCTTAGTTTCACTTCACTTCACACATCTTTGAATTTCTTCGCCGATATGTGCGTCACGATATTTTCCTTCACCGTAAGAACGTCGGATAATTATGTACATATGAAAATTCGAAAAATCGAAAATCACATCAGTACGGCGGGATTCGAACCCAAGACCTGTAGACAAGTCAAGTTCAAACCGCTGAGCCGCCGTCGCTCTTATTATTTACAACGTTATTAGTAACATAGTTGCTTAATTAATGTTTTTTTCAGGAAAATGAATATAATAAATTTTTATCAGAGCACGGTGGGTCAGCTAATGCATACACTTCTACAGATTATACAACATTCTACTTTGATGTGTTACCACAACATTTGGCTGAGGTTTTAGATATGTAAGTATATATAAATCCAATTATTTACTTTTTTTTTGCTTGTGTATACCTTGGTACGATGATTTTGCTCGCGATTCTGCGTGGAATTAAAAAAAATATACCTATGTGTTCTTCCAGACATATTTCATCAAGATCTCTTAAACAGTTTAGGCTACGAACTCTAACAAACATTAGATAATTTTGTCTGTTTTCAATTCTATAATTTCGAATCCAATGCCTGGTAAATATACAGCTGTATATCTCCGTCTCTTTTACATTATCTCTTTCACAAATTTAGTACAAAACGTCAACTTTCTCGCACTAACAGGAGACATCTCTCTCTGGACACACTTTTGTACGTGCTGGGGGCCTAATTTTATTCCCTTCCCATCCTTTTTTATTTGATGGTGAAGGAGACGCATAGGAAGGCGAAATGTCCTTTTATGTCCGTTCCTTTTTCAATATAGGCAACTTATCTGCATCAGAAGATGTCTAGAAAACGGTCGCTTTGCCTTTTCAGCGATTTTAATTCGCTTATTAGCCATAGTACAAACACTAACACTATCTCTAACACACACGTTATATTCGTCCCAGTTTCTCCCAGTTCTTCATCTGTCCGTTGTTCACGGAGTCTGCGACTGGACGAGAACTGAGTGCGGTCAACTCCGAGCATGAGAATAATGTGTGCAACGACACTTGGAGACTTAACCAATTCAATAAAAGTACAGCATCTCCTGACCATCCTTATACTAAATTTGGCACAGGTTAGTAGTCTACAAAGATCATAAAACAATATTTTATACACCTACAAGAATCACATAAAAATATTTTATACACCTGCAAGAATCACATAAAAATATTTTATACACCTGCAAGAATCACATAAAAATATTTTATACACCTACAAGAATCACATAAAAATATTTTATACACCTGCAAGAATCGCATAAAAATATTTTATACACCAAAAATATTTTATACACCTGCAAGAATCACATAAAAATATTTTATACACCTGCAAGAATCAC